CCAGTACCAGGCTGTTTTGAGAACAGTGGCTTTGTAATACAGCTTGAAATCTGGTATTGTGATCCCTCCTACTTTACTCTTCTTTCTCAGGATTGCTATGGCTATTCGGGGTCTTTTGTTGTTTCAAATGAACTTTTTTTTTTTCTAACCAGAATAATTTGCATTTTATTTTATTATTTTATTTTTTAATAAGTTTTTGTTCATATTATTACAAATATTTCTTTTCCCCAACCCCCACCATTGCTCTTCTCCACCAGGTTCCCACGCCACCCTCTGCCCTTTCCACACTCCCCATTGTCCTCATCCATAGGTGCACAGTTTATGTTCAGTCTCTTCCCACATCCCCCTCTCCCCTTTTCCCCAAGAATCATCAGTTCACTCCCCTTTCATACCTCTGATTCTATTATATTCAACAGTTAATATTGTTCATCAGATTTTTTTAATTTCCTTGGTTTTTAGATTCACTTGTTGATAGTTACGTATTTGTTGTTCATAATTTTTATCTTTATTTACTTTCTCTTCTGAAAGAACCCCCTTCAGCAATTCATATAATTCTGGTTTGGCGGTGATGAACTCCTTTAGCTTTTTTTTATTTGTGAAGCTCTTTCTCTGTCCTTCGATTCTGAGTGATAGCTTTGCTGGATAGATTATCTTTGGCTGTACTTACTATTCATCACCTTGAATATTTCTTGCCATTCCCGTCAGGCCTGCATGGTTTCTGTTGAGAAATCAGCTGACAATCGTATAGGTGCTCCTTTATAGGTAACTACCTTCTTTGCTCTTGCTTCTTTTAATATTCTCTCTTTGTCTTTTGCTCTTGGAATTTTAATTATGATGTGTCTTGGTGCAGTCCTCTTTGGATTCCTTTTGTTTGGAGTTCTGTGCGCTTCCTGGACTTGTAAGTCTAATTCTTTCACCAGGTGGGGGAAGTTTTCTGTCACTATTTCTTTCAGTATGTTTTTGATATCTTGCTCTCTCCCATCTTCTGGGACCCCCATAATTCTGATGTTGGTTTGTTGAAGTTGTCCCAGAGGTTTCTTACATTATCTTCAATTTTCTGGATTCTCTTGCCTTCTAGCTTCTGTGGAGGAGTGTCTTCTGGTTCTTTATGTTCCAAATCTTTGACTTGATTCTTGCGATCTTCCATTCTGTTTTTAGGACTCTGTATACTATTTTTTATTTCAGACAATGTATTCTTTATTTCTTGTTGATCCCTTATCATTTCTTGTTGATCCCTTATCATTTCTTGTTGACTCCTTATTAATTCTAGTTGATCTCTTTTCATATCCTCATAGGTCTTATCCATCTTTTCTAGGAAATTCTTGAAAAACCTTATAAGCGTAGATTTGAACTCTATATCCAGTCGCTTTTTGTCCTCCATTTCTTTCATCTGTGATCTATTTCGTTGTCGCATTTCGCAGTTACAGATGGGACGGGATTTCAGGGTGGAGCCTACAGCCTTGGCTTCCGTCAGCCCGCCCTATGCGGCTCCTGCGGCTCAGGGTCCTTCAGTACTCGCTGCAAAGCGCCTCTGAGAGATAGGTGCCCTCGATTTTCGCCTGCTGCCAAACAGTCTATGCTCTCCCCCAATGAGCCCGGTATTGGGGTTCAGTTCAGTTGGAAGTGGAGTTGGAGGTGGCGTTCAGAGCAGACTGGAGCCCCAGTCTCCTTCCGGCCAGGGCAATCCCACGGCACAGCCGACCGTCCGCCGCCGGGACCTCCTTTCGCTGCTTCCCCAGGGTTCCACCTTACAGCCCAGCTCCCTATGGATGAGCCTTGGTCCCCGGAGTCTGGCCTAGAACTGGGGTTCAGAGCAGTCAGAACTGGGGCACAACACAGTCGGAGTTTTATCTCCTTCCCGCTAGGGAACGCCAGCCAGGCACTCGACCTCCCTCCTCTCCGGCTCCGTCCTCTCCGCGCTCCGCGTGTCTCCGTACCTTGGGCTTTTAAAGCTCCTCCACGCTTCCTTCTGGTTTTCTCCTTGCTTCTCATTGTAGAATTTCCAGTCAGTCGACTTTCCTGTAGTTCTGGGTAATGTCCATTTTATATATTACTTATATTTTATTGAAATTGTAGAGATATGAACTTCCTTCTCATTTTATATTTTACTTATATTTTATTGTGTGCGGCTGCGGCTAGGTGTTTACCTGGGCGCAGCCATCTTGGATCCTCCCAAATGAACTTTGAAGAGTTTTTTCTAGGTCAGTGAAATATGCCGTTGGTATTTTAATGGGGAGTGCATTGAACCTATAGATTGCTTTGAGAAGTATGGACATTTTGATGATGTTGATTCTACCAATCCAGGAACATGGTATGTTCTTCCATCTGTTTACATCTTCCTCTATCTCTTTTTTCAGTGTCATGTAGTTTTCCATGGATAGGTCTTTTACCTCCTTAGTTAAGTTTATTCCAAGGTATCTTAATTTTTTTGGTGTGATGGTAAATGGGATTGCTTTTTTAGTCTCTGTTTCTGCAAGTTTACTATTGGTGTATAGAAATGCTATAGATTTCTTAGCATTAATTTTGTATCCTGCTACATTGCCAAATTCATTTATTAAGTCTATTAGTTTTTTGATGGAGTCTTTTGGTTTTTTTATGTATAATATCATGTCATCTGCAAATAAGGATTATTTTACTTCTTCTTTTCCAATTTGAATGTCTTTTATTTCCTCTTCTTGTCTAATTGCAATGGCTAGTACTTCCAGTACTATGTCAAACAGGAGTGGTGAGAGTGAGCATCCCTGTCTTGTTCCTGTTCTTAGAGGGAATGGTTTTAGTTTTTGCCCATTGAGTATGATGTTGGCTGTGGGTTTATCATATATAGCTTTTATTATGTTGAGGTACTCCCATCTTGTTGAGAGTTTTTATCAGGAAAGGTTGTTGGATTTTATCAAATGCTTTTTCTGCATCAATTGATATGACTATATGATTTTTATCTTTCAATTTGTTTATGTGATGTATCACGTTTATTGATTTGCGGATATTGTACCATCCTTGCATTCCAGGAATAAATCCTACTTGGTCGTGGTGTATGATCTTTCTGATGTTCTGCTGGAGCCGATTTGCTAGAATTTTGTTGAGGATTTTGGCATCTATGTTCATGAGGGATATTGGTCTGTAATTCTCTTTCATTGAGTTGTCTTTATCTGGTTTTGGTATTAGGGTGATGCTAGCTTCATAGAAGGAGTTTGGAAGTGTTCCTTGCTCTTGGATTTTTTGGAATAGTCTGAGGAGGATAGGTTTTAGTTCTTCCTTGAATGTTTAGTAAAACTCTCCTGTGAAGCCATCTGGCCCTGGGCTTTTGTTTGCTGGAAGTTTTTTTTATTATAACTGTTTCAATTTCTTCCCAAGTCACTGGTCTATTGAGGTTTTTAGATTCTTCCTGATTGAGTTTTGGAAATTTGTATTTTTCTAGGAATCTGTCCATTTCCTCCAGGTTCTCCAGTTTGTTGGAATAGAGTTGTTTGTAGAATTTTGTTACAATCCTTTGTATTTTGGCGGGGTCTTTTGTTATTTCACCTTTCATTTCTGATTTTGTTTATTTGGGTCTTTTCTCTTTGTTTCTTGGTTAGCCTGGCTAGAGGTTCATCAATCTTGTTTATCCTTTCAAAGAACCAGCTCTTGGTTTTGCTGATCTTATGTATTGTTTCTTTGGTCTCTATGTCGTTCATCTCTGTTCTAATTTTTATTATTTCCTTCCTTCTGCTTACACTGGGCTTTTCTTGTTGTTCTTTTTCTAACTCTTTGAGTTTAGAGTTAGATAATTTGTTACCATTTTTTCTTGCTTTTTGCAATAGGCTTGTAGAGATATGAACTTCCTTCTCAAAACTGCTTTTGCTGATTCCCATAGATTTTGGATTGTTGTGTTTTCATTGTCATTTGTTGCCAGGATGTTTTTAATTTCTTCCTTGATTTCTCTGGTAACCCAGTCCTTGTTTAATAGCATGCTGTTTAATCTCCATGTGTTTGATTTCTTTGGATTATTTTTATTGTAGTTAATTTCCAGTTTTATGCCACGATGATCTGAGAAGATGCTTGATATGATTTCTATCTTCTTGAATTTGAAGAGACTTTGCCTATGTCCCAACATGTGGTCTATCTTTGAGAATGTCCCATGTGCACTTGAGAAGAATGTATATTCTGTGGCTTTGGGGTGGAATGTTCTGAAGATGTCGATTAATTCCATTTGGTCTATTGAGTCATTTAGGATTGATATTTCTTTGCTGATTTTTTGTTTAGATGATTTGTCCAAAGGTGATAGTGGAGTATTAAAATCTCCTACTAAGGTTGTATTGCTATTAATCTCTCCCTTAATGTCCTCCAGCAGTTTTTTTTATGTATTTGGGTGTTCCCGTGTTGGGTGCATATATGTTTACCAGGGTTATTTCTTCTTGTTGGATTGCTCCCTTTAGTATTATGAAGTGGCCTTCATTATCTTGTTTTGTTTCTTTGGTCTCTATGTCATTCATCTCCCCTCTAATTTATATTATTTCCTTCCTTCTGCTTACACTTCCTTCTCCTTCACTTTGAGGTCTAATTAGTCAGATATAAGTATTGCTACCCCAGCTTTTTTTTCATTTCTATTCGCCTGGAAAACTTTTTTCCATCCCTTCACCCTCAGTCTGTGTGCGTCTTTTTTTCTGAAGTGGGTTTCTTGTAGACAACAGATATATGGGTCAGCCAGGAAACAAAAGTTCTTTCAAGCCCAGCTGGTATGGCTCAGTAGTTGAATGTCAACCCATGAACCAGGAGGTTATGGTTCAATTCCTGATCAGGGCACATCCTAGGTTTCAGGCTTGATCCCCCATAGAGGGCATACAGGAGGCAGCTGATCAATAATTATCTCTCACCATTGATATTTTTATCTCTCTCTGAAATTAATAAAAAATAAAACATTTTTTAAATAAAAAATTTTAAAATAACATAAAAAAAATTTTTCAAAGCAAATTTAAAAATTTTTAAAAGTACCCTGCTGGCTCTTAGAACTACATATTTAGAACCAATTCTTAAAGGATCTGTCTGGCTGGCTTCTCATTTCCTGGGTGAGGTGATGGGGACCAATGATGACTGCAGAGACCTCAGGCTCCACATGATCATCACAACATATGCTGCGTTCTGTGGTTCCCAAGGAATGTGCTCTACCTGTCATGTGACCTTTCTTAATCATCACCAGAGAAACCCCTACTCTATGGTGATCCTATTCCTATTTTTCTCTTATTTGTGCTGCTGCTTCACTTGGACATGCTTCCACATGGGCTTCAACTCCAGAGGAAGAGATGGTAACTTGAATTCTTGTTCCAGAATTCCCAAAGAATTATGCTGAATTTCAAGAAACCCCATGTTTTCTAGCATTACTGGGACTGTGGTATATCTTTGCAGCTGTGAAGTTAGGCCATAACAAGAAATGAAGCAAACAGTCAAGTTTGCCTTCAATGAGTAACTAAAAGAAATCTTTAATTATCTGCACCATGTCAACTTATGATAAGGCAGTGAGATTTAAAACAAGACTATATAATAGAAAGTACTGAATATATTTCTAAATTTGAATATTGTAAAGACCCAGTATGCTAACAATCCAATTAAGCCTGCCAGTAACTGTTACCTAATATAGAACTTGCTTTAAAGAAACTAATGCCAATTTGGCTACCTTAAGACTTTTTCTCCCTTCCAAACAATATTACATTGGACAGGTTCTGAGTCTGAAAAGTACAGGCTTCATTCAAATGTGTAACCTCTTCATTGGTACATGTGACTATGACCATGAGGTCTTTATGGCATTGTGTGTAACCTCCTACCTGAGGGTAGCTTGCTGTATGCAGCCGCTGAAGACATTGCCTGTCCTAGAGCTTGATTAGAGCCCAGAGGCTGCTGGAAACCAGAAGCTTTGCTAGTTGAAGTTGTCCGTTGCTTTGATTTGGGATCTTTGACTGATTTTGTCCAGACCAGTGCCTCCCCAACCTGGAGAGCAGCTCCCAACTTCTGAGCCATCTCCACCATCTTGTACCCACATGTGAAGAAAAAAAAGAATCAAGGTATGACCGGCAGAGACAAGCCTACCTGCTTCCTACGCCTTCCACCTGGTGGGTTATAGCTGAAATAGTGACTACTGGTACTAGCATTTGAGGGAGGAAATACTTATTACAAGGAAATATTTCTCAAACAGCAGAAATCACAGACTGCCCTTATTGAGGCAAGAAAGTTCATACAAGATCTCAAACCTAACAATTCAAGTTTGGTATGTTACTGGGAGGAAGCTACAATGAGATATGGGCCTCAGAGGGGTTGTATTATCAGTAGCAGGTTCAGTAAGCCTGAATTTCCTCTTACTATTTTCTTCTAGGAAAGTTTTGTGTGTTTTTTTGTTTTTTGTTTTTTTTTCAGGCTGTCACTAATTGACAGCCTGAAAAAAAATAGGCATGAGCTTATAACAGATTATCTTTGAATTATTTGTGTTTGATCAAAAGTGTACTGACAGCTTGCTTATGGCTCCTTAGAAGCTAATAAAAGACATATCTCATGCCGTGGCCAGTGCGGCTCAGTTGGTTGAGTGTCGGCTCAGCAGTTGGGCATTGACCTATGAACCATGAGGTTACAGGTTCCGTTCCTGATAGGAGCTCATGCCCAGGTTTCGGGATTGATCCCCATGTGGGGCATGCAGAAGGCAGCCAATCAATGATTCTGTCTCATCATTGATGTTTTTATCGCTCTACTTCTTTTTTTTAATATATATTTTATTGATTTTTTTATAGAGAGGAAGGGAGAGAGATGAGAGGTAGAAACATTGATGAGAGAGAATCATCATCGATCATCTACCTCTTGCACACCCTCTACCAGGGATATGTCCGCAACCAAGGTATATGCCCTTGACCGGAATCGAACCTGGGACCCTTCAGTCTGCAGGCCGACACTCTATCTACTGAGCCAAACCAGTTTCAGCATCTCTCTAGTTCTTTCTTCCTCATTTATATCTATAATAATAAAAGCACAATATGCTAATTAGACTAGATGACCGGCCAGATGACCTCCTGGACAAAGCTGCAGCTGTGAGGGCCGAGCCCCTTGCACAAATTTCATGCATTGAGCCTCTAGTATTAATATAAATATTAATATATTTAATAAAAAATATTAAAAAAAATACCTCAGAGTCATATTCTAGAGAGCTACTGTCCTTGAGTAGGTTGACTTTCTTCTCCATCTCCTGATACTGGGTTAGGGCATCCCTCTTCTCACCCTGGTTGTATAGCAGCACAGCATAGTTCAGGTTGATTAAAGGGTTATACCTATAGCAAACAGACAAGGATTCTATGAAACTTAGGCTTCACAATCAATGGTCATTTAGATTTTCCCATTACATAAAAAACAAAACTGATTGTAAGTAGAGATTTCTCCATTCTGCAGCAAGGTAAGAGGAACACACATGCTATGTGTGGATTTGTGGGAAAGAATCAAGGATAATTGCCCACAATCAGGACCAAGTCTGACATCTCAGCCCTCAGCAGGGACCACCAAGTGGGTTGAAGAAGTGATTCCTACCCTGCTGCCTAGCCAATGTCAGTGGAATGAATATGGAGAGAGTCACATTTATCTTAGATTGAACTGAGCCCAGAGCTGCATCTGATATTCCATCTAGCCCAGTAACCAAAGTCCACTGCCAGCTCTGACTTTCTCTGGTCTCCTAACTACTAAACTTAGGGCCAGAAACACTTTCTTAGAAAGTGTCAGTGTCGGTTCCACTGCAGGCTTAGTAGCACATCCTTCCACACATGCCGTGTGCACAAAGCCTATGGAGAGCAAGCAACTGGACTGACTCAGGCAAAGCCAGTTGTCTAATGCCACTTCTTGGCTTTGGAGAGTCTAGCTCTCCCCAATACTATTCCCCAAGGTGCAGCTTACTTATCCAGGCAGACTGCTTTGTCATAAGCTCTCTTGGCATTCTCTGTATCTTCCAGATTGGTCAAAGCCACTGAAACAAAGAAAGTGAGGACTGAGACTGGAGAACCCAGCTTAGAAAGCAGAAGAAATGTTTCAAGACCACAGTTCATTCAGTTCCCCCAACATAACTGCTCCTTTGCCTCCTTAGTGTCTAGCACCACCATCTACTCACTCAGCTTAGTTTCCTGGTGTCATCTTCAACAGTTCCCTTCTGCAGTCAATCAGTTGCCAAGTTATCTGAACACAATTTTTTGCAGTTTCTTTTCTGACACTGCCCAAGTTGTTTCTGGCTGTGGCAATGTCCTCATCTGTACCCATCCACTTGTCACAATGCTGCCAGGTTTCTCAACAACTTTCAAACAAATCTGAAAATGACACTATCCTGCTTAAGAATCCTCACTGGCCCCCAATCACCCATAATCCTGAGCTTTAAAATTTGTTTAGCACCAGGACAATTTCACTTTTTAAATCAGTATTTTCTACAATAGAAGCCTCACCTAATAAAAGGGTAATAGGCAAACTAGTCGAACACCATCATAGTAACAACAGATTAGCAGGCTGTGCACACAGAAGACACAGGTGGGCGGGGACTTGCAGCATTGGGACATAATGGCAGCGGGGACAAGGCGGGAGTGGCCTGTAGAGGGCAGCCTGTATGTCCCCACATGGCAGTGGTGGCTGTGAGCACTCCTGATGGCCGCTGCCACTTGCCCAGAAGGATCACAGATTTCTTCTGCCAAGTGGCAGGAGAAACACTCTGCTAGGAAACCTCCACACCAGCAGCGAAGGCAGGTGAGCAAAAGAAAGCCCAGCAGTGAAGGCAGGTGAGGGAAAGTCCCAGCTCCACAACTAAGAGCTCCCAGCCCAGCCATGCCCCACCTTGGCCTCCAGCACCACAGGCCTGGGATTCTGAGAAAGGTAGCTCCTTCCTGTGGCTCTTCAAACTCCCAGTTACTTAATTATGAAACCCCCTCACCAACCCTATAAGATATATCTCTTGTACACTAAATGATATCTGGAACTTAGCTGGGCACAAAATATATATATAAACTAGAGGCCTAAGGCCTAAGGCCTCATGCAAGAGTAGGCCTTCCATCCCCTGGCTACTGATACCGACTTCCCTCTGGCACCTGGGACCCATATTTCCCTCTGACACTGGTACACACCCAAGACCCAGACTTCCCTCTGGCCCTGGCTTCATCTGGAAGGACATCAGAATGATGTCTGGAATGATGTCCGATCTAATTAGCATATTACCCTTTTATTATTATAGATTAGAGACCCGGTGCACAAAATGCGTACACAGGTGGGGTCCCTAGGGCTGTCCAATGATCAGGGCCTATGCGGGTTGTCTCACCCATTCCAGATTGGAGCCAGGTCTACCAGCTGCTGGATAGGGCCTGCCAGGTGCTGGACGGGGCCTGCAGGATGGGGCCTGCCAGATGGTGAGGGACTGCAGGAGGTGTGCCGGCAGGGGGTGAGGAACAGGGGGAGTTTGGCTGGCTGTGGGAGGTTGGCTGTGGGAGTGCAATGACTACCAGAGGGCAGCTCCTGCATTGAGTGTCTGTACTCTGGTGATCAGTGTGCATCATAGCGACAGGTCAACCAATCGTTTTGGTTGTTCGATTGTAATGGTTGCTTAGGCTTTTATATACACTGAGTGGCCAGATTATTATGATCTCTGAATGCATAATAATCTGGCCACTCTGTATATATATTAGAGGCCCAGTGCATAAATTCGTGCATGGGTGGGGGCCAGCCAGCCTGGCCAGGAGGAGGGGATATGGGCAGTTGGCTGGCCTGTCTGCTGGTCGAACTCCTGGATGAGGGGACAATTTGCATATTAGCCTTTTATTATATAGGATATACACTGAGTGGCCAGGTTATTATGCACTCAGAGATCATAATAATCTGGCCATTTAGTGTATATATAGATCACATGTGTCAAACACAAGGCCCGCGGGCCAAATCCGTCCCGCCAGGCCTTGCAATGTGGCCCGCACCGCGCTGTCATCACTGCACTCCGCTGCGTTTCCATCACAATGACAGTTTATGACTGTTCAGTAAACCATTTGGCCCGCGATTTAGGCTGGATTTTAGATTTTGGTCCCTTCTCTGATTGAGTTTGACACCCCTAATATAGATAGTCAAGGGAAAACATTTGGTAAAAGATAAATTAGGTATGATCTTGATTTAACCTGTTGGTCTTTGAGTGAAATTGCCCCAAGTTAGAAACAACCAAATGCTTTGTCATTATTTTCTTCATTGTTTTTCAAGCTCTAGCACAATAATCTAGATTCCTATGGGACCTGCAAGGGGATGGCTTCTACAGGGTAGCCACTCACCTCCAATGATTCTAATTCATTTCCCCCCTTATTACAGACTGTGGAGACAGTTTCCACACAATAGTCTCTTACCAGCCAAGAGCATGTACAGTTCCCCCATCTTTGGCTGGAAGTTGATGGCTGCACTGAGAAAATGGAAAGCTGATGCATACTGCTGCATGGTCAAGTGAACAAGGCCCAGATTATAGAGAATCTTCCAATCAAAGGGTGCCAAATAGTTGGCTCGTTTCAGGCAGCTGATAGCCTGCAGGAGAGAGGAGCACTTGATGAGGGTGGGACAAGCTGGGCAGACCCAATAGCACAAAGAAGGAAGGTGAGGAGACACTCACTGCTACATATTTCTTCTTGCCAAAGAAACACATTCCAATATTATTCCAAAGTGGAGGACTTTCTGGAACAGCAGAAGCTACAACTCTGTATTTGGTGAGGGCAACATCAAAGTCTCCATGGGTCTGCATCATGCTGCCTGCTGCCAAGATTGCCTGAAAACACAGGATATGGGAAGTTGATAATTCAGTCATTCCCAAAAGGCTGTAGTAATGAAGGAGCCTTCCTGGGTGTAGATAATGTACATCATGACTGAGGACTTCCAGAGACATATAAAAGATATTCAAGTTATTAGGGACAAATGCTCATGAGAAATCCCTGCACCCCAGACTCTGGCTCTCTTTGGCACAGTACAGAAAAAAAAGAAAAAAGAAAAAAAAAAAGATAAAATGTCACTGACTTTACCCAGCTCATTTGTTTCCTACTTCTTCCAACTTCTAACTAGAGAAGGCAATATTTCTGAGCACACTATCTTTAATCTGTTCCCTGTAGCCCCTAGTTGATACATTAAGTGCTGATCCAGACAACTCAAATACTCCTTTCATTGCCACTTAAAGTATAGTTCCTTCTGCCACAGCACAAAGGTGACACAGCTTTAGGCTTCATCAGTCCAGGGTTCAGGTGGGGAGCTGATGGAGTCAGGCTAATGTGACTCTGAGATAGGACTGAGTCTGTATCCTTCACAGCCTGTTTTGCTGCATCTCCCTCAATGACATTCATTCACTTAATGATCTTCTCACCCCTAAAGACATATCTAGACAAGGTTGTAATTGAAAATTCATTAAAAAACTAGAAATCATTTCACCAGAAGTATTTTTATAGTTGTGGAGGCTTTGCTAATTTCATAAATATATAAAACTTTACCAGTACTACAATTTTGCTTTCTGCGTAAGTTATAGGTCTGTTATAACAAATGTGCTCTTTTGGAAAATAACAAGCAGAACACCAACACTTTACAATATTTTCAAATGAAAAGAGCCATGTTTATTAATATTTTTTCTAAGTAAAATGTAATTTCTCAGGTATTCAAAATGCTTTTAAGGGCCAGATCACCTCTAGGAGTGGAACATCTATATGAAGGCTCTGGGGTTTGACAGCCTACAGTACCTTGTAGTTGATAGGGTCATAAGTTAGAGCATTTCCGAGGTGTTCAAATGCCTTCTGATAAATGCCAACCTTGGAGAAAAAGCAAACCAGAGAATTGTATCAGCGAGGAGATAGCAGTTCAGGAGTCTGGCCAATTACACCCTGACTTTTCTGAGTTCTCTTTACAAAACAGAGCTACTGATACCAGATAGAAAAAGAAAACTAAAAATCCCCACATTTGTCCCTTGATAAGATCAAAGTACCTATTTGCCAGGAATTATCTCTGCCATAATATGCTCCACACTAATGTCTCTTGGCAGGAAATGGGCTGGTTAGCCTCATCTCCCTTGGGGTCAACCTCCCAAGCCAAAGCCAGGAAGGCCCAGGGGTAAACTCCTAATTCCTTTTAAAGAAAAATGAAACAAACAGAAAGGCTACTAAAGAGGAAGAACTGGAGGCAGGATCAGCCGAGCAGTGAACTTTGGGAGTTGATGGGAAATGGGACGACTAGAGGTCCCTCCAGGATTCTGGGCCCCAGTTCTCAGGCTAATAAGTGATTGAGCTAAAAGAATTTCATTCATACTCAGGAAGGAGATAGACTTCTTATTCTAGACAATGTTTTGCCTCCTCTTTCCTATAGCACCTGGCTGGGAAAAAGGAACAACAGAAATGGCTTTAGCTCCAAAACCCTGATAGTGCTAACTTGTATCTCTCTCTCCCCACAACAAAATGACAGTCCTTGTGACCAGTTATTTCTCATATATGTTCTTTCCTTTAAAAATTATAATTTCAGTCTTTTTTTGAAAGCAGAAAATTAATTTTTTTAACAGATAAAGAATATAATAATGCAGAGAGTAAGGTTGGTGTGCTTCATATGAACTTCAGTGAAAAGTGCTAAAATAAAATCAAAATGCAGGGAAACCACAATACACATAATCCAAAAGTATTTCTAACATCAATGCATGAATGAGTAAAAAGTTCTTACCTGTAAGTAGAGTAATCCTAAAGTTGTAAGAAGTTCTGTATTTTCTGGTGAGAACCTGCAACACAGAGATCAACACAGAGATGCTCAAAAGGAAACAAGATGTGAATGAGATGCTGAGGCACATGCACAGTAACATGCCCTCATGCAACATCTGAAAGACAGTGTGTGTCCCACTCTCCATGGAAAGTCCCCAAAACGATTGGGAAATTGCCTTTAATAGTGTGTCATTTTAACCCTGGCTACAAGGGAGGATTGCTCAACAAGATAGAAATAGGGCCAAAACCGGTTTGGCTCAGTGGATAGAACTTCAGTCTGCAGACTGAAGGGTCCCAGGTTCGATTCCAGTCAAGGGCACGTACATTGGTTGCGGGCACATCCCCAGTAGGGGGTGTGCAGGAGGCAGCTGATCAATGATTCTCTCATCAATGTTTCTGACTCTCTATCGCTTTCTCTTCCTCTCTATAAAAAAAACAATAAAATATATTTTTAAAAAAAGATAGAAATAGGACTTAGAATTCAGACTCTTTTTTAGGACCATTTCTTAGAGTTCAAGTCCTAAGACAAAACCTATTGAATATTTTGTGTGACTGTCTTCATTATACTGACAGAATTAAAGAATAATTCTTTATAAGCCAAGCCAGTAAGAAACATACATACCGTGTTTCCCCGAAAATAAAGCATCCTTCTAAGTGAAATATAAGGCATCCCCCTGAAAATAAGGCTCCCCTAGGCTCTGTCTCAGAATGAAAATTAATTTACCGTAAACTGGTCGCTAGGGCCGCCTGCAGGAATGACGACCTATCTCCAGACTCTTGATATTGCAACAAACAAGCCATTCAAAGACAATTTGTGCATGGAAATTAATGACTACATTGAAAATAGAATGGAGAGAAATCAGCGTGGAAACTCTGTGAAACCTAAACTGCAAGAAGTTGTGACTTGGGTGAAGAATTCATGGGGAAAAATCACTGACAGTTGCATTGCAAATGCATTGCGAGCAGGCTACCTTGACAAGAAGTACTCATTTAAAGACAGAGCTATTGCTAAACATGAGAGATTTGGTCCACTGATTCTGAAAGAAATGGAGTCACAAGAAATTCACCAGGAAATTCAGGAATTGGATTGTTATGATGATGTTCCAGAAGATGATGACATGATTGTCATTGAATAAATGAGTAAATTCTTGATACTGTAGGTTTCACGGTTTGTCTGGTTTGTGTTGACAACTACCGTACTACCGTACCGTTTACAGGTAATAAATTTCCTTTATTTTTACTTAACAATAAATGTGTACCGTATTCTTCTTCATGGGAAAATAAGACATCCCTGAAAATAAGACCTAGAGCATCTTTGGGAGCAAAAATTAATATAAGACACTGTCTTATTTTCGGGGAAACAGGGTAGCTTTAGTCAGTTTCCTTCTGGTAGAATTTCTTTTTCCCCATGTTCTCACTGTATGCACAATGGCAACCTGTATAATTTTCTGTGTAATTTATGATCCTAAGGGCCCTAATGCTCTGTTCTCCACATTAAACAAAAGGCCATGGTAAACAGCCACACTAAACAAAAAAAAAAGGAAGACATACCAGCTCTGGGAAAGATTAGCCACTGACTTAGGTAAAAGATTATCTGCCTTCCCAATCCCTCACTAATATTTGTCTTTGTTACAAAACTGAGCTATGATCTGACTACAGGATAATCAAACAGTAACAACAGTAAAAATGCCAAAGATGAAGAACAGTGTTGCATAAGTCGAAGCAATGAGATAGGGCACTGGTTACCTATCAGGCGACCAGAATGAGAGGGACCAAAACCCCAACCAGGGAGACCTGAGCTGGCCAAACAAAGCTTACTCAGTTCAACTGAGTATTTGCCCTTCACTTTGCCATAATAAATATCCATTTTCATCATCTCCCTTCCCCAAACTAACTTGCATGATCTACCAAAACTGCTATCTCCAAGCTGTGGATCTCCACATTCTCAGTAATGCTCAGCTGTCCTCTTGGAAATTCTTGTGACTTAAGTCCTTGACCAACCACTGAAAGAATGTCACCCTTATGTGAACTCATTTTCTAGAAGCCAGGGGTTACAAATTAAGGCTCCCAGCAGCCCCACAGAAGCTTAACATATGCTATGTGGGCTCCTTCCTAGTTGTCCACATATACATAGCCTCTTGATGATAAAAGTCTCTTAGAACTTCACTTAACCAAGGGATATTTCTATCTTTTTAGGCACAAAATTTGACTGAAGAAAATTCAGAAAGCTGTAACTGATGGAACCAGAAAAGTTACTACATCATTACTATGGTAGAAGACAAAGTTAATTAACATGTTAATTTAACAAATTAAGTTTAGTTCATAGTCTAACTACCATAAATACTAGACTCTGTGACCAGGCATTCTATTAAATGGACAAACGAGACATTAGCAGGCGTCTTCAAACTACGGCCCGCGGGCCACATGCGGCCCGCAGAGGAGTCTGATCCGGCCCGCCAGGTTTTTTGGGCAGTGAGCGCAGCCGAGGTGTTACAGTAGGAATTAGTAGTTCATATAGTCCGGCCCTCCAGCTCTCTGAGGGACCGTGATCTGGCCCCCACTTTAAAAAGTTTGAGGACCCCTGCTTAAAGCATCATGGTGACAGCTATCCCATTTAAAACAAAGAAAACCCTATACAGAAAAGGCAAGATAACGTGTGTCCAGAGAGAAAACATGGAACACCATCCTGGGAAAGCCAGTCAGTTCCAATATCAATAGGAGGTTTCAAAAATATATATATTTTTAAAACAAGATATTTTTTTTAAATACTTTTTTTTAAAAAAAAACATTCTAATAAGACCCTCCTCCCAAGCATGTGTGCCCACTTCCCTTACAGTTGGATGTGGCCACCTCATTAATTTTGAACCATGGAATGCAAGCGTAAAAAGGTGTACAACTTCTGGGTCACTTAAAATACTACAAGCTTTTTATTTAGTACTTAGTTTCCAGTACCACCTCCCCCAACCACAGTCCAGAATATGGAGGTTATAGTAACTCAGCTTCACCCATGCAGATGAAGATAACCTAAACAATGGTGAGTCAAAAAGAAAGGAACCTGGGTCCCAGATTGACCTTGTAGAGCACAGCTGCCCACCGAGGCTAAATCAGTCATGCTGGAAACCAATCATTGTCTCACTAATAAAAAGAGGCTGGTCAACCTTGAAGCTCTGAAAGATCAGAACCAACCACTCCTATCTAATTGAGACAATGGTAACTGAGGCAACTTTCCCATCTTGTAATAATGTAAATCCTTACTGATAAGATAATCCACTTATTACCTGCCTAAGGGCTATGGGTCTTTCCCAAAGCTGTTTAAGGGTAATGGGTGTATCCCATAGCCTCAATAAAAGGGATAGCAAGGCGAGAGCCTAGTGGTAGTCTTCCCACTAGAGGTTAACTCCTGCCTGCCCCCCCCCCCCCATTTTCCCAAATTAACTCTTTTTCCAGTCTCTCTCTTCATTTTAGTGTGTGGCCTTCTCCAGAAAACGGACCCTGAGTGGGCCCTGAACCACACGGGTCGTGTTAAGGACTCCCACACAAGAGAATCCAAGATGGCGGCATAGGTAAACACCTAACTGCAGCCTCACACAACAATTTCAATAAAATACAACTAAAATACAAAATGGACATTGCCCAGAACTACAGGAAATTTGACTGACTGGAAATTCTACAACTAGAAGGAAAAAGAAAACCAGAAGGAAAATCACGTTGCACGTGCGAAGAGGACGGAGCTAGAGAGGAGAGAGAAGCTGAGTGCCTGGCTGGCATTCCCTAGTGGGAAGGAGATGAAAGCTCCGGACTGTGCTGAACTCCAGATCCGACAGCAGTGAACCTCAGTTCTAGGCCAGACTCTGGGGACCCAGGCTCATACAGGCGGAATCTCAGGGGAGCGACAAAAGGCAGTCCCAGAGGTGCTCACATTGCGCGCAGAGAACGGACAGTTGACTGTGCCGCTGGATTGCCCTAGCGGGAAGGAGACAAAAGCTCCAGACTGCTCTGAACCCCACTTTCAACTGACCTGAACCCCAGTTCCGGGCTCATTGGGGGAGAGCTTAGACTGTTTGGTAGCGGACAAAACTCGAGGGCACCTTTCTCTCAGAGGTGCTTGCAGAAAGTATCAAAGGACACTGAGGAACACTGAGACTCAGGAGCCTCATAGGGCAGGGCTGACAGGAAGCCAAGGCTGTAGGCTCCACCCTGAAACTCTGCCCCATCCAAGCTGAACACGGAGACTTTTAAAGCTACCAACTCAGGGAAGCTGCGAAAATGCTGAGACAAGGAAACAGATCACAAACGAAAGAAATGGAAGACAAAAAGCGACTGGATATAGAGTTCAAAACCACACTTATAAAGTTTTTTCAAGAATTTCCTTAAAAAAGGCTGATAAAATAAACGAGACCTATAAGGATATGAAAAGGGATCACCTAGAAATAATAAGAGATCAAGAAATAAAGAATACATTGTCTGGAATAAAAATATTATACAAAGTCCTAAAAACAGAATGGAAGACTGCAAGAATCAAGTCAAAGAGTTGGAACATAAAGAGCTGGAAGATACTCCTCCACAGAAGCAAGAAGACAAGAGAATTCAGAAAGTTGAAGATTATTTAAGAAACTTCTGGGACAACTTCAAGCGAACCAATATCAGAATTATGGGGGTCCCAGAAGAAGAGAGAGAGCAAGATGCCAAAAAACATACTGAAAGAAATAGTGACAGAAAACTTCCCCCATCTGGTGAAAGAATTAGACCTACAAGTTCAGGAAGCGCACAGAACCCCAAACAAAAGGAATCCAAAGAGGACCACACCAAGACACATCATAATTAAAATTCCAAGAGCAAAAGACAAAGAGAGAATATTAAAAGCAACAAGAGAGAAACCTATAAAGGAGCACTCATACGATTGTCAGCTGATTTCTCAACAGAAACCATGCAGGCCAGATGGGGATGGCAAGAAATATTCAAGGTGATGAATAGCAAGAACCTACAGCCAAAAATAATCTACCCAGCAAAGCTATAACTCAGAATCGAAGGCCAGATAAAGAGCTTCACTAATAAAAAAAAAAAGCTAAAGGGAGTTCATCACCGCCAAACCAGAATTATATGAATTGCTGAAAGGGGTTCTTTAGGAAGAGGAAAAAAATAAAGATAAAAATTATGAACAATAAATATGTAATTATCAACAAGTGAAACTAAAAACAAAGGGAATTAAAAAAATCTGATGAACAATATTAACTGTTGAATATAATAGAATCAGAGATATGGAAGGGGAGTGAACTGACGATTCTCAGGAAAAAGGGGATTGGGGGTGTGGGAAGAGACTAAACAAAAACTTCACCTATGGATTAGGACAATGGGGGGTGGAGAAAGGGCAGAGGGAGGGTGGGGTGGGAACCTGGTGGAGGGGAGTACTGGGGGGGGGGGGGAGGGAACATTTGTAATAATCTGAACAATAAAGATTCGTTAAAAAAAAAAAAAAAAGGACTCCCACACAGTCATACTAATTGGTGAGAAATACAAATCTTCCTTATTTAGGTCATTGGGATCTCTTAACCTTAGCATAACATTTGCATTCATCTAATTCATACAAATAGTTATCAGTCATATATATTCTCTCGTAGGCTTGAGAATTCATATATCTACTCCCTTTTTTTTTTTTTTTTTTTTAATTTTTTCCTTGCTCCAAAGTTGGGCAGTTGGGTGGACCTTTTTTCTGCCAAGGGCCATTTAGATATTTATAAGATCATTTGTGGGCCATATAAAATTATCAATTTAAAGATTATCCTGCTATATTTGGTCAAACACTTAATTAACTCACCACTAATACCTTGGCAGGGCCAGATCAAATGATTTCATGGGCCTCACCTGGCTTATAGGCCAGATGTTCCCCAGTCCTGCTCTAACGGAAACAGGTACACTTACTCCACAGCTTTCTTGTAGATTTCCATGGCCTTGTCCAAGTCTCCCACCAGCAAGTGAATCTTCCCCAGCATTATGTAAGTCAGATCATGCCTATTAAGCTGTAGGGCATGATGCAATTGGTCTTGTGCCTAATAAGATTGATGAAGAGAATGAAATCACTACCATAAAGGACAATGGCTGTGTATGTATAAAGCAAAAACAAAGCTCCCGCTATACTAATGTAGGAACATTCCATTTCAGCCAATAATAAAAAATTACAACTCGTACCAAAACTGTACTTGCTGCCAGGACAGGTGGAAACATGGAGTATCTGCCTTTGGAGCCATTTGGAAGAATTTTTACAAGATGACTAACTTTTTGAATGTTTTTGCTTCTTTTCTCTCTTTTTATAATCCTCACCCGAGGATATTTTTTCCATTGTTTTGCAGACAAAGTGTGAAGGAAGGAAGAGGGCAGGGGAAATGGAGAAAGAAACATTGCCTGGAAAGACAAACATTTATTGTCCCGCATGCACTCCAACTGTGGCCGGGGATGGAACCCGCAATCAAGGTACTTGCCCTTAACAGAGAATCAAACCCACAATCCTTCGGTCCACAGGCTGATGCTCCAACCACTTAGCAAAACCAGCCAGTGCTATTTTCTGCTTTTTAATAATCATACCTATGATTCATATTTCATAAGTCAAAAGGGGGCATCATAGTACGGTATACAGCACTGTCTAGCTGCACCAGTGACCAACTGCACAACCTTTCCCAGAGGGGACTTCATTTTCCTCAACAATATTTTGATAAATAAATGAATGGATTGTTCTCATTTATACTCAATATGTACTCACTGAGTACCTGTTGTTCTAGGTGCTAGGTATATTAGAGCTAACAAAACAAACTTCTTGCTCTGGAAAAGCTTATATTCTTCCTAGTTGATGATCAAAAGGGCTTTTTTAGTGATTCGCTGATTCAACAACTATTTACATAAATGCCAAGTATTGTATTTGCTCTGTTAGCTTTACAGTAACATTTAAATATAATCTTTTTCTCCTTTACAGATATGACCAAAAACCAACCTGCCTCTCCCTTGCCTCAGAATAATCCTATTAATAGAAATATACTTGCTTGAAATAGTCTTTGAGAGAAAAATTTCCTAACCAAGTATATTAACAATGTAGATCTGCCCAGTGGACAGGGGGCCCATTATATATAATATATATATATATATTTTTTACTTATACATATCCTATTTAATAAAGAGGAAATATGCTAACTGACCCTCATACCATTGCAAAGATGGTGGCAGCCTACAGCCAATAAGGAATATGCTACTTGAATGTCCTGTCGTCAAATATGGTGGTACCCACAGCCAATAAGGAGGGAATATGTTAATTGACTGCTATGCCATCAAAGATGGCGGCACCTACAGCCACAAAATGGCAATGCCCAGTCCCCTCAGCCCTGCTGCTGGAGCCTCTCAGTCTCCTCAGCCCCCCAGCCACCCAGGGATGGCCCAAGGTGTAGGCAAGCCTCGGATGGTGGCTGCCCAGCCGCCCAGGGCCACCTGAGGCTCAGGTAACCAGGTCCAGCTGAGGCTTGCACTATAGACAGTGGCAGCAGCAGAGGTGTGATGGGGTGTTGCCTTCCCCTGATTGCTGGGTTGCCTCCAGCCCCTGAGGGCTCCCGGACTGTGAGAGGGAGAAGGCCAGGCTGAGGAACTCCTCTTCAGTGCATGGGCCTCTAGTTATTATATATTTCACAAGAGTAAAAGTTACTCTCACACCTCAACTGCTGATGTACAGATTTTTTTTCACATACCTGAGGGATAGATTAAATGTTGTCAAATGGATATTAACCAACTGAGATTCTTAGTCCTGTCAGCACTAGGGAAAGGAGAATAAAACTTCATAATCACTAAGTGGAAGCTTTATGAAGGGAACCCTATGCAGCCCACTATCATTAATTTTCAGAGCTCTCAATTAATTTAATCTATCCCTCAGTTAAGATATATATATATATTTTTTTCTTATATATAGAGAAACATGTAAATTGACCCTACCTCTGCTACACCCACAACCCATCAGAGTGAATATGCAAATTAATCTAACAAAGATGGCAGTTAATTTGCATACATACCTGGGTCTTGGGAACCTCCACCAGGTAGAGGCTTTAAGCTTGGGAAGGGGCCGAGTCTGCGATCAGAGGGGCAGAGGGTCCCCCTTCCCAAGCCTAAAGCCCAGGGCAAAAACTTTAGGCTTAGGAAGGAACTGAGCCTGTGATCGGAGGGTCGGGGGGCGGCGGAGGCTTTAGGCTTGGGCAGGGACCAAGCCTGGGATCAGAGAGAAGGGGATAAAATCAATGGAAATATATCCTTAGGTGAGGATAAAAATAAAAATAAAGAAAGAAATGTCATGTCCTATGAAAGACACATCTTGAAAATGCTTAAAGAAAGTTGTCATTTTTTTCATGGTGAAGAGACTGGAGTTCGTGTTGATGAAAATACCTTGATGGCTGTAGTGACTGGTAGTGGCTGCAGCAGTGGGCTGATGGGGCTGGCACCTTCCCCTGATCAGCCTCCCTCAAAAGGAGATCAGACTGCAGCTTAGGTATGCTCCCAATGGGGAGAAGGCCTAAGCCATCAGTAGGGCATCCCTTGAGGGCTCCCAGTATGTGAGAGGAGGCAGGCTGGGCTGAGGGTGCATGAATTTCGTGCACCAGGCACCTAGTTTGATATAAGAGCCTTAGAGTCTGCAGCTTAATCACAATGAAATATAAAGTCTCATATAGAAAATAACCTTAGAAACTGAAACTCAGAAATCAGATCCACTTGTAACTTAAAATTTACCTCCAATGACCTTAAAAACTAAAATTAGTTGCTATCAGAGCATAAGAGAGTTACCATGGTCATGATTACACTTTTAAGACTTAAAGGTCCACTTTTTTGTTGTTATTAATCCTCACATGGGGACATTTTACCTTTGATTCTTCATGAGAGTAGAAGGGACACAGAGAGATAAACATCAATGTGAGAGTGATACATTAATTGCCTCCCACACACACCCTGACCAGAGCCCGGGATCGAGCCTGCAACTGAGATATATCCCTTTGACAGGAATTGAACCCGGGAACCTTCAGTCTGCAGGCTGATGTTCTATCCACTAAGCCAAACCGGCTAGGGCAATGGTCTACTTTTTGATACCTAAGTTTTACTGAACATTTGTTTCTATACTGGAAAATTAATCTGGGGTAGAGAAAAGGAAGAGAGAAAAAAGGAAATTAGATGACCATTTCCTCATAATATTTCTAGAATTTCTCATTTTCTTGTTAAAAGCCGGGATATGGATAACAGCAAATGAAAAGAAAAATGGAGATAGGTGTATATGGCACTTTCAAACTTTTACTTCCAAAAATCTGTGCAAGCACTAAGAATAATACAAAATGAGCAATGGCACCTCTGTAACAAGTATACCCTCAGTGAAATCACTAGCCACCACTATTTCTATAAATTACCTTGTTGAACTGTTTCAGATAAATGTAGCAAACTCCTAGGTTATGATAAATCTCCTACACACAAAAGAAAACAGCTTAGGTATAAATTCCACATTACATATTAGAGTGAAACAACAGTCATCTAGAGATTGTTATTGTTCAGCAAAGTTTAAACTTTAAAATATGCATTACAGTCAGTTTTTTACTAGATTTCATATTCAAATATATTTAATTCTAAAAAGATGAGTTCCTTAATATACCCCACACACAGAGATAAAAAGACATAAAAGCAGGACAAACAGGAGATCAACTTCATTTGTGCCCTCTTCTCCGAAGAGACTACCCCCCACTCCTGTCCTACCCTAAAGAGATACATACACGTATATGTGTTAATTGGATTCCTTTTCCTAGGAATCTAGGAATTCACTAAGTGATGTGGACTTTGGGACTGATAGCACCATATGGAGGGTACTATAATGGAATATATGTATTTGAAGTCAATCTGCAAATGCAGACAGCAGAGGTCAGTAAAGTAAATTAAAGTCCACAGACCAAATCCATCTCTGCCTTATTTTGTAAATAAAGTTTTATTGTTATTGTCCATGATTTTTTTATACTAGAACCCCAGAGTTCAGTAGTTGTCACAGAGACTATATGAAGCCACAAAGCTTAAAATATTTACTAACTGGCCCTTTAAAACATAGAACATTTGCCAACTGCTGATCTATAAAAAGAAGAAATAAAACAGAAATGAAGAGTAGCTACCTTGGTGCTGACAGCTTTCCAGTTCTAGTTCATCGCAAGACCAACCTGTATTTCCTGACCTTAAGCTCTACAGAATATCTTTAATTCCCTTTATTAAGACTCCCTTTATTTAGAGAAAGGAGAGAGCATTTCTAGACAGGAAAGCTGGATTATCAACAGGAATCAGATTAATGGCGAACTGCTTAACAGCAACACTCCCTGCCAGAAAACCATGCAGCAGTATCTGCTAAGTTATTCGAAAACATAGTTTTTGATCTTATGTCTAACTGAATCATCAATTTAGTGTGAGGATAAAAACAATTTTGGCATGTAAGAATTCAGTAACAACAAAAGACAGCCATATGATAAATGGAGCCATGAGCTGTAGCTAATAACAAAGATCTAAAAGTTTCCCACTTACCCAGTCTTTCTGGTTAAGTTTAGCTGCTTCATTATATACTTCAGTGGCAGCTTTATGTTTCCCCAAAAGAAATCTGCGGAAGAAATACAGTTTCCATAATTATTAACTCAAACCTTTTAGAAGACTAACTCCACTAACCCCACATTTGACTCAAATCCAATCCAGCTGAGCCTTCTGAAGTCTCTTCCCTATGAGCTGGTCATACTGGTTCGGTCAGTGAGGCTGCTGTCTACCAACAGCAGAAGCTCTCTTGGTAGCAGTTCCAGTGCCTTGATCAACTTCTATACCAATTTTAGTGAATTTTCTGTAATTTATTTTCTACAGTGTACTACAAATGTAGACCAAAAAAGAAACAAACCAAATAATGTACCATGTTAAGCAAGAGCTGCCATCACTTATCACCATCATCTATTAGGGATATGCTCTTCACTCCCAAACCTAAGTCTGCTCTGGAGAAAGCAGGGGGAAACCAGGCTCTATGCAAAGAGAGTACAGGTATAAATCACAATTTAGGTTTAAAAAAAATTAGGTTGAGAACCCCACAGAAACTTTACTACTGGAATACTGTACTGGGGTAGTAAAGCTATTAGAGCACCTAACAGCTTAGAAAGATTTTAAAGGTTGCTTGCATTCAGGAACCTTCAGAGCATCCCCTCAACAAACATTAAAAATCTACTATGTGTTAAATATTATGCTAAGTATTGGATGAAAAAATTTCCATGGGTTGCCAATAAGATTAGAGAACTGAGGACACAAAAGTCAGTATTTATATGAAAACCTTATTTTCATTGCAAGAAGAGTGTAGATTAACTGAAATTTGACCAAAAGGAGATAACTCACATTTTGGTCATATTTCAAAGTTAACCTACACTCTTCAAATGAATCCCACTATACCTATTAAGCTACTCTCCCTCTATGGATAAGGCTGATCAGGCTGCCAGAAGTAGCCTCTTCCTAAGAATGCTCATTGCACAACATTTTCCATGAGTGTCCAGGACCTCCAGACTGCTGATACTCACAAAGATCTGGCCACCTGCTTGAGGTTATCAGCACACTGAGGGCTGAGAACAGCACATGTCTGAAAGAGTTCTAGGGATTCTTGGATATTTCCTTCCAGGCGAAATATCAGTGCTGCCAAGAAACAGAAAATAAAGTTGTGTTCTGAGAATAGAGCCTGATATAAATAAATAAATAAATAAATAAATAAATAAATAAATAAAAAATTGGAAAAACGAGAGGTGGAAAATTATATCAAAGAAAGTCTTTGGATTATTATATCTTCAACACAATCAGATGGGCTGAAACAAATAGTAAAGTGACTAACACGCTAAAAACCTTTTTTTTTTTTTTGAGACCTGAATGTTTTATTGTGAGAAATAACAAAGGAGTTTTCACTATGAGGAGTTCTTCATATTTACTAAGGGAATAAATAAGCTCAAGCTTAAAAAAGGAAAAAAATAGGAAAGAAAGACATTTAAATATTTGGCAAAGATTGTTTTTCAGAGACTGAAGTGGGAAGAGGAATATATCCCCTTCAAGTTTGTTACTCAACAATATCGCCAAAT